TTTTTATTATGATTTTACATATCAAATAGAAATTATTCAATCATACCAAACATGATTTTATATCTCGTTATCACTCTTTATCATATTTCTATTTCTATTTTCATTCCTTCAAAAATCATTCTATCATACCTGTTTGGCAAAAATAAAGGGGCGTGTGTCACGAGGCATGTTAGAAATGCAAAATCTTAAAAGAATAAAAGAATCTGACTTCTAACTAGACATAAGAAACCCAAATTCCTTTATCACAACTCACTCGGATATGAGAATTCAAAGTACAAAAAATTAATGTAGATGAAAGGAAGTAAAAATATATTAATTAAAAAAGAGATGGCAGACTATGCTAGTCGTACAATAGAAAAATAAAGACTAAAACTACATGATAAAAGAAAAAATAAAATAAAGTAGCAGATGTAAAATCTAAAAATTTGACTAATAGTTTGTTAATATTGATGATGACTTTTGTCGAGCAAGGGCTTTTCTATTTACGAATGATCCTAACTTATGTCTACATCCCATGATCACCACTTTCATTAATTTTATGAAACATTTTCTCTATTATGGTCACTCATCATGAGTAAAATGATGATGATCTTGAGTCAATGACTAAAACTTTATAAATATTTTTTAATTATCTTGAAATCAATTAAATTGAGCTAAACTCGAGTTTTTAAATTTACAATTTAAATTCAAACAAAACCAATCAAGGCCTGAGAGATTTTGATATTCTCTGCCTTCCTTCAACCCTAGTTTAGACCTTGTTCATGACTCTTATTACTGGGGACCTTGGATTGCAAAGCTTCAATCTCATTTGCTTGCCAAACTTCTTTTTTGATGAATCTTTACATGAAGGATTTGGTTCGATGATTGCAAAAGACATTTGCTCTCATTCTCACCAACTTCGATACTGTCTACACAGTGAGTTTGCATTCAAAGCTAATACAAGCAAACGCGTGTCTCTCATATTCTGGTTTATTCTTTTGGCTAACTGTATGTATTGTTTTAATTTTTTTCCTTTTTTCTTACCTGCAGATACATCTGGAACTGTTTGTCCTTTTATCAGAAAAAAGGACACAAATCAAACAAGAAGAAGTATTTATGGGTCAAGAACCAGTCTCGGTGCCTCATATCCGGAGTGTCCAGTGGATATAATTTAATGTTAATTTTTCATATCTATAATATATTATTACTTTAACGAAAGATATAAACTTTAAAAATAAAAATAATCTTATAATTATATTTTGTCAACAAATAATCTTTTGTATAACGAGGTCACGAGTTAAAATTTTTACACGTTTGAACCGTTAAATTAATTTTAAATAATTTAAATCTCACTCCAATGATGATAGTGTTAAAATTCATCCCTTGGTTTCGAAGCGTCAGCGTTTTCGGCTTCCCTTGGAGTCATTGACAAGCACTCACCAACCTTGAACCATGCCACGTCTAATCAATCAAGCTCGTAATCCACCGACACACACCATTGAATTATATTTTTAATCATATAATTACATAACATGAAGAACGAACCATGTTTTTCACAATTTTTTTTTTGTGGCCAAAATGTTTTTCACATACAGCTGAGAAATATAAATTATTATCTTAAAAGATATTCCATTAAACAATAATATCACCATGTAGTGGAGGCTGAAAACAACTAACCAATAATGCATTGTTGGCCCAAAAAATGTGTCTTAATGCATTATGGTTTTAACAAAAACAAGTAATTCGAAGAATCAATGCCAAGTTTGACCCCAAATAATCGATCAAATTACTTTCAAAATGGTTAATCTTAAATAAAATTGGGCAGTATTATTTGATTATCAAACAAATTGGGATTCCAATTTCAAGGTTACACACGGGCCTGCCCTTGTCCAACCACTTAACCTTAATAGATGTGATGTGAACACTGAACACTGAAATCATTACCGGTGAATGGCGATGAGGGCGAAGTCGTTTCAGTAGTGGCTTGCGCGTATGACAGCAACACATGCACTATCGCAAGCTTTAGGTTGCTTCCCTTCCTAAGTTTCTGCTTTATTATTTTTTTTTTTTTTGGCCACAACCAATATTTCTGCTTTCAACCCTCCGGATATGTTTGTTATTTATTCCCATTTTCTTGTACCTTGTCCAACTAATTTAATTTAAACAATAATATACTCTCTTTTCCTTTTGCGTTTTTTTTTTTTAATTAGAAGAGAAACATAAGACGGCAACTAACTGCATCCTACATTATCGTGCCTAATTGAGTTAGACATGGAATGGCTTGGTTTTTAGAATTTTATTACCACAAGGGAGGTTCTTGAGGCTGATACCTGTGTATTACTATTATACATCTTGATAAGATTAGAATTAAGGGTAATCAAAATGCAAATCATTATTATTAAACTTTTAAATTGACTCTATAAATTTATCATTTTTACATTTATAGTTTACAAGATCATGTTAATTCACTCATGACTCAAATTATATAAAACTCAGTTAAAGTCACAAGTTAACTCTCTAAAATCACTTTTTTTATGTTTATAGCTTGCAAAATTGTACACACTTGCTCATAAACTCATTGAGCAAAACAGGCATATACTGTGTAAAACTTGATTCACATAAGTGGTAGGATTTGGTTCAATGAAAAATACAATTAAAAAAACAAAAACTAACCATAAAAAAGAAAACAAAGAATACAAAAATAAGTTGCCATATTTTAAATTTATATATTGAGCATAATAATATGTGAATGTAGATAGATTAAATTTCAATCAAAATTATGATCTTATTTTATACTTTAATTATTTAATCATATGCTTTTAAAAACTATTTATTACTAGTAGCAAACTTTCACGAGTTTATGATATAAGTTTGCATTTAAAATTTACATCTCTATCATAAATTTATTTAAACATACGAGTTTAACAGCCTTGATGCAAATCATTCATACCAAACCAATATGAACATATTAAAACTAATTATAACTAAAGTTTGGTTTAGTGTTTCTTTTGATAACACCAATCAATTTGGTTCGATTTATGTCTTTTCTCTTGAAATTTAAACTAAATTGAACCAATCTTTACTATAATATCTATTATATATGCTTTTATAAAATTTTTTCTCTCCCCTGAGTTTAGTTATTTGTGGATCACTAATAAAAAAATATTACAATTAACTAAATGTTGTCGATAGTTGTTTTTGATAATTTTGTTTAGAATCTATAATCAAGTTTTAATTTTAAAAATAATACATTCGTCTTTAATAGTCAAGTGAGCTAATTAATCGTTAAAATCCTCAAGTTTTTTTGTTTAAAAATAATAATTAATAGATAAAAAATTTTCGCAAATATGTATATACATTGATTATAAGAAATACCTCACAAAAAAAATTCAAACTTAAACAAAACATAAATCAAACTGCTTAAAAATATAACCCAACCAGCAAGCAAAAAATCTGATTAAATTATCAGTTCTGGTGGATCAATTAGTTTAGTTTAATTTTATTTTAAAAAATCAAACCAAACTGAATTTATAACTACTTTATTCAGAATATTAATTATTACATCAAGAAACATCTATAAAGAACGCATGCATCTGGGCCTCCAATTTTGCTGGTTAGACCTGGGCCTCTTGTCCACCCCTCAACGCTCACCCTGTCCAATCAATGGGAGGCGATGCGAATAACATTTAAGTACTAAAATATTAAATTAATGGCAATTACATGCTGATAAAAGTTTTAAAAAAACTATAAATATTAATTCAAATAATTATAGTTTCATTTGAAATTTAAATATTTTAACTGAAATAAAATTATTGAATTTAGAATTAAACCTGAATCAATATTCTGAACTCTTTTTCAACAAAAAATATAATGAATCTTAATTGTTACTCATTCAAATTTTCCAAACCAAGTTGTCATTCAACCCCACTGAATCCTGGGGAGAAGAAGACCCGACTAAATCGATCCTGACAAAATAATAATAAAATATTTTAAAATTGTATAAATAATAATTTAATTTTTTAAAATGTTATAATTTCATCAAATTTTTTAAGAATTTATGTATCAATAAATTTAAATTAAAAAGATCATTTTATCTTATCAATAAGTTAAATTTACCATTCAATTCTTCTAAATTTTTAAATAAAAATTATTATTCTTTAAATAAAATTATGATAGAGATTTATTATTTTAAAAATTTATTTTTAAATAACATAAATTAGAGTGAACAAGTTATAATTTTTTTATTCAATTTTTATAATTTATATAATAAAAATTATTATTTTTAAATAATAATTATATTGAATCTTGTTATTTTTAATTTAAATATTTTAATAAAATTATGATTATGATATTTTAAGAGAATAAATTATTATTTATATAATTTAAGAAGTTTTTATTGTGAATTTTCCCCATCCTCACCATGATTCCCAGAATCTTCGAGATCCTATGCCATCAATCCACTCGGCAGATCACCCCACTTTGAATATGCCACGTCTCCGGCTAAACCAAATGTTTGGCCCCTCACGTGGCCACCAATCACTCCCGTTGGTACTGTTCCCATTCGGCGGACCTTTGCTTCATCCTCCTTCACCCATTTCCCGCCACGTGTTGGCCCTTCCCGCCTCACTTTTTCAAATTTTACTTCTACTCCTACCCTCAGGAAGAATGCACTGCCAAACGCTCCGATTTTCCCTCATCCTTCCCTTCTACGTTGGGTTCAACCGAAAGGCAGGCACTTCACGTGAGGTGTCACTTTCCCCCACACGTCGCTTCTCCGTTGGTTCTTACATCTATCACTACGCGCGTTTCGTGGAAGCTTCACGCGCAATTCTCATCCCACCGTCTACTGTCACGTGAAAGGGACATCGTAGCCGTTGCCTTCTAAACCGTCCCTTCACTGCCACGTACTCTATCGGACACGTGGCAACAAAATATCGGCTTAGAGGGAAGAAAAGATTATTTTAATCTTATCCTCAGCTCAAGCCCGGTCTATAAATTCCCAAGATCCTCCGTCCCACTTTTTCCTCCACTACAGCTCAAACTCTAAATTCTAAATTCTTGAATCTCAACCCGATAAAATAGGGAAGGGGTTACAAAAACTTTCAAACTTTTTCAGTCTTCTTCTTTCTCGCGTTTTTCGCTTGATTTTCTGGGATAAGTTCGGTATAAAGAATGGCTTTGAATACCACACATCTGATTGGTAGCCTTGCTGGGACTCCAGCAGGAACCATACAATCTGAGATGGGAATTTCATCGGGAGAGTCCACTGCGACGGTAAACGCGGCGGCCGTGTGGAAGACGCCGGCGACGAGTCTCCGGTGTAAGGTGAGCAAGTCGGAAGGCGTGGACGCGCTCTCGCCGCCAGTGAGCCCTTGCAGGTCGCCGGTGTTAGGCGGAATTCGGGCGGATCTATCAGTGGCGTGTCAAGCATTCGCGACAGAGGTTGCGCCGATGGCGGAGGCGGGGATGGCGCCCGTGCCGATGAGGAGGTACAAGGAGGGAGGAACCTCAGGGAAGGTGGAGGGAGTGCCGGTGTACGTGATGATGCCGCTGGATAGCGTGACGATGGGGAACACGGTGAATCGGCGAAAGGCGATGAACGCTAGTATGCAGGCTCTGAAGAGCGCGGGGGTGGAGGGAATTATGATGGACGTATGGTGGGGATTGGTGGAGAGAGATTCGCCGGGAGAGTACAATTGGGGTGGCTACACGGAACTCCTGGATATGGCAAAGAAGCACGGCCTCAAGGTCCAGGCGGTGATGTCATTTCACCAGTGCGGCGGAAACGTCGGCGACTCGTGCACGTTCGTATCTCGTTACTTCCATCTCTCTTTTTTCAACGTTTATAAATAGTACTATAAAAGTATAAATATAAATATATATTATTAAAATATTAATATAAATATAAATATTTTATTATATAATATTTTTAACTGTTTTACATATTTAATTTTTTAACATTATAAAAAAGTGAGAGTTATTTTTTATTTTTATTTTTAACTTTAAATTAAAAAAATAATTTAATTATTATAATATGTTCCTATATTTTTAATCAAAAATTATTTTTACAGAGTGTTTTGTGAATAGGATAGTATTTGATTACAAGTATTTCTTTTCTGTTTTTTTTTTTTGTGCGAGCCAAGATTATAAGTATTTCAGTATTTTGAGATTTGAGATTATTTGATATTTTTATTTGGAAAACCTGCATTTTTCTCTTTGGGGTGATGACAGTGGGTTTCCACGGGATATGAAAGAAGTGTAACGAACACGGGCCCAACTTGGGGCTGGAACGTTCATATTTTAAATAATTAATAATTAATTAAATTTATTTTTTATTAATTTTTAGAATTTATTATTTTCAAAATTATTTATCGTTTAGAATGATAATCAAAATGAGCGGTCAACCTATGGCTGATGCAAGTGACACAGGAAAAAGGGTCAGATACCGAAAAAGGGGACACGGAAGTAGCGTGTGGTTTTCTGGAGATTTGACCGGAGCCCACATGAACTTGTTTTCGACTCCTTAGTTGCTTCTAGAAAGTATACTAGCCATTTGGCCTTTTTCCTAGGTCCAGGACAGTAGGACTTTTCAAGATTTGTCATTTGTTTGTTATATATTTTGCATGAATATAAAAGAGACGTTTTAAATAAATTTTTTGTAGCTAAACATTGGCCGATTGATTTAGGTATATGATTGGGCTTTTTTTTGGACCGAAAGCTAAAAGTTGGGGGTTTAACGTCCTTTTAATGTATTTAAGGAATTCGTTACCCAAAAAAAATTGTATTTGAGGAATTATTTTAAAATATCTAATGACAATCTTCATGGTGCTTAACGACTGGTTATATTGCATGCAGTATTCCCCTGCCCAAATGGGCTTTGGAAGAGATGGATAAAGATCCAGATCTTGCATATACGGATCAATGGGGAAGAAGAAACTATGAATATGTGTCTCTTGGGTGTGATACCCTGCCTGTTCTCAAGGGCCGAACTCCAGTCCAGTGTTATGCTGATTTCATGAGTGCTTTCAAAGACAAGTTTAAACACCTTCTTGGTGAAACTATTGTGGTAAATATTCATCTTAAGATTCTATTCTAACTTCTAATATTATGCTGTTTTATGCTCTAGACATCTGAAACACCCATTTTTATTCCATTCAGGAAATCCAAGTAGGAATGGGACCGGCAGGGGAGCTGCGTTACCCTTCGTACCCAGAGCAAAACGGGACATGGAAATTTCCCGGAATTGGTGCTTTCCAATGTTATGACAAGGTACTACACATTTTCCTTTTAATTTATACTGTTCTTGGCTCATCCAGATGATTGATAGCTACTGAGTTATATAGGTGGGAAGCGGTTAGAAGCCCAATTAAGTGTTACTGACCTAGCCAGAAAAGTTTAAACAAGGAGTTTTCACTTTGAAAGGAAGTGCACATTAAATTCAGTTACCTTTTGTTTTCATTATGGTGTAGTATATGCTGAGTAGCTTAAAGGCAGCTGCTGAAGCTGCGGATAAGCCAGAATGGGGGAGCACGGGCCCTACTGATGCAGGTCACTACAACAACTGGCCGGAAGACACACCATTCTTCCGCAAGGAAGGTGGAGGCTGGAACAGTCCATATGGCGAGTTCTTCCTCACCTGGTACTCCAATATGCTCTTGAATCATGGCGATAGGATCCTCACCGCGGCCAAGTCAGTGTTCGAGAACTCTGGTGTTAAAATTTCAGTAAAAATCGCGGGTATTCACTGGCACTATGGCACAAGATCCCATGCCCCAGAGCTCACAGCAGGCTATTACAACACCAGGTTCCGCGATGGCTACCTTCCAATAGCTCAAATGCTGGCTCGTCATGGAGCCATCTTCAATTTCACTTGCATTGAGATGCGAGACCACGAGCAGCCCCAGGATGCTCTGTGTGCACCAGAGAAGCTAGTGAGGCAAGTGGCTCTAGCCACGCAGAGAGCCCAGGTCCCTCTGGCAGGTGAAAATGCACTGCCAAGATACGACGAATATGCGCACGAGCAGATCATAAGAGCATCACAGTTGAATGTGGATGGTGGCCAGAATGACTCAACAATGTGTGCTTTCACTTATTTGAGGATGAACCCTCAATTGTTTCAGCCAGAACACTGGAGGAAGTTTGTGGCTTTTGTGAAGAAGATGAAGGAAGGGAAGGGTGCTCGCAAGTGTTGGGAACAAGTGGAGAGGGAAGCAGAGCATTTTGTTCATGTCACCCGGCCTTTAGTGCAAGAGGCTGCTGTTGCACTTATGCAATAAGAATCGTTGTTGAAATTGAACTTGGTTTCTGCAGTTGTATTTTACTTCATAGGGTCTCTATAGGTCACAGCTGGGCTATGAAATTTTTAGGGAAGAAGTATCCTAGACTTTGTGGCCTATGGAATGTATAAACATGTATTTAATATAGTATTCATTTTATCAGAGTATTTATGCCAAAAACAGAAAAAGGAACTTGTATTTTTAGAATTGGCAATTATAATTCTCCTACAATCATGATCTGTCATTTGTCTATACCACCCTGAACTATATTTGGTGGTTTTTGTTTGATCTGAAACTCATTGAAGAAATATCGAAGTGGGAATCTAAAGCAAGAGTCTGTCTGTTTGGATTGAGGATTTAATCGATTTTAGAGGCAAAAAAATCGATTAAGCCATAATTTACCCAAACATACACTTTTTGTCAAAATCGATTTTTTTTTAAAAAATCAATTTTTTCCCAACGCTCCAAATCTCAGCTTCTCTGCTTTTGCATTTTTTTGTTACAAAGTTATATGAGCAAATTACATAAAAAGTTCAAGAAAAAAATCACAAAAAAAGCACAAAATTTAATAAAACTAAAACAAAATTTTTTCTCTTCTTTTTTTTTCTTAATAAAATTTGAATCTTTAAAAAAATTACTAACATGAGTATCCAAACAGATTGCGTTATAACATAATCAATTATGATTAAAATCTATCACTTAATCAATTATTTTCATAATCTATTATACCCAACTGAAATCCAAACGGACCCAGTGTCGTTTAAGGGGGAAAAAAAAGAAAAAACACGTGATCTCGTGTTGCGTTCACATTTAAATAATTTAAGCCTTTTGCTTCTTCTAGCAGTAATACCATATCAGCATCTTACTCGCTTTCTGGATGCCTTGGGATTCAAATATTTCGAGTGCCAAAGTTTAATAATTTCTTTTACTAGGATGAGCAGCTTTATCACCGGCTGGATGTTATTTTTACATATTTTTATAAATTCTTCTAACTGTTAAACCACGATTCATACATGTTAAGTAGTTGGCTTTGTCATTCTTGATTCCTTATCATCCATATTTGCTTCTTTTTCTCAGGCCAATTTCATTAAAGTGAAATTATTACAACCATGACCTGGGGTAAAAAAAACTAAAAATTAAGTTTTATTTTTGCTCTTAGATTTTACATTTAAGGCCGCAAGTATTTTAAACTTGACATTGGGTTATTTTTATCTTTAAGCGTTTGAAATGCATTGTCTCATCATCCTGGTGTTAACACAGCAATTTTTTTTTTTTTTTGGAAGGGAGGGGTCATACCATTTATTATTAATTTTTTGTAATAAAATATTAAATTAAAGGTCACTTTTGCTTTTTAAGTTCAAGATATCAACATATCACAAAAGTGACCCTTAACTTAAAATTTTGTTACAAAAAAATGGTGGGACCAACTCTATTATAAAATGGATGTTAACTTAATGATAAAACTAATAAATACCTATGCACCATTGTTGATTTAAAGATGTTAAAAGTTTACAAAGATTGAAAGGTTACTGCCAAACAAATCTCCAGAGATAATTTGAAATGTGTTGACTACATAGCAAAAACTGTCTTAAGGGTTAACATTAAATTACTTTAATCTTATCTTATTGATTGTCTAGACTTAATGTTGTCTGATATGAGTGCCTTTTAGTTGCACTCCTTATTTTTAAGCTTCGTCTTACCTTTATATTAAAAAAAAAAGATTTTAAAAGCTTTTGGAAAAAAAAGTCTTTGAATAATTTTGTTCTTTAATCCAACATCTCAAATTTTCATTAACAGATGTTAAGCTATTTTAACTATTCAGGGAATGATGTCCTCATTAAAAAAAAGTTCATGGATATTTCTATATCTTTTATTAACTTAAAAATATTATATGCTTCAGGTGAAAATTTTTTTAGATATTTTTACCTTTCAATTCTTAATTTAATAGTAATTTAAATGCTTTCAAGCCAAAGTTTTATTATATGATAGATGATTTATTTTGGGAGAATAACAATGAAGTACAAAATAAAAAATTTATGACAGTCAAGTTCTCAGTAAATTTTTTTAAAAAAATAAGTTGCAGAAATTAATTTAAACATTTATTGACAATTTTTTTAATTATGACAATTTATATATTAAGATTTTTTTTATGTCCCCGCCAAGATGTAAGAACCTTTTGCCATATGATGTGTCACTGATAATCTTCATGTGTCTTACTTAACACCGCTCTCCCACTGAACCACGCAAGCCTATAGCTGTAATACACTTTAAATCTTAGCTTAATGTAAAAGGGTACAGGCTGATTCATATAATTATTTACAAGGTTATTCTCGTACGTAAGGGCTCCATCACGTCGCAGATAATTAGATAACGATAAGAAGAAAGGCTGGGACACGAGCATATATCCATGTCTGGAAATCGCCAAAGAATACAAGTGGAAGGATGACTCAGGTGGATAGAAATAGATTCAAAGATCATTCATGGCAAGAGTTGAATTTTTTGGTCCTGATTGCGTCCATTCTTAATTTTGTTCTTCTTACGAACATACAAGCTTTTGTCCAATTGGACTAAATACTTTAATAAAGTCCTTTGAAGCGCTGAATTAAAATCATTAAAGATAAAGATTAAATTTATTTAAAAGTAGTAGTTAGATTAATTTAATTCAAACTAAAAAATTAGAATATTTTAGATAAGGAAATTCAAACTTATTTGAATCAGCTTGACTAAGGGATCAATTAATTAAAATGATCAAAGATGTTGTTTGCCGGTGGAGAGGATTAGGTGCATGTTAATATAATTCTTCACGACATCTGACTCCGTGCAAATCATGCGTGAGTCCTCTCCGAGATAACACCCTTCCAATTTTTCTCCATCCATATTTCTCTTCAGATAAATACTTTGTTGTTATGAAATTAACCAACTAAAAAAAATAAGATATATGAAAAAGAAATGAAGATAAAAGAATGAAAGAATTTTTTATGAATTATTGTTCATTTCAATACAAATAATATGTCTTATTTATAAGTATCATCTCACATTAACAGTTGCATAAATGATAACAACAAATAAAAGATAATTAATACTCATAATGTTGGAAGTTTCGTGAAAGAAAATAAAGATATGAAAAAAATGAACTTACACACTTTTAATATTCATTATATTTGTCGTCTTTATTTTGATCACAATAGAATTGAGTCCAATTTTGATGTTTTTTTCATGTGGGTCCCTCGCACTCTATAGCATGCTTGCAGACCTCAATCAAGTCCGTAGGATAGTAATTTAAGGAAAAAAAAATAGATGCATAGAATAAATTTAAATAGTAAGTTAAAGGATATATGTATTTTAAAAAATGTTAAAATGCATCTATAGGCATTAGTCATAATAAAAAAGGCCATGACTAATTAAATATGGGGTTTTGAATTCTAGATCTTATGAAGGTAGAAAACAATTTTGAAAGAGTTAGAGCCTATTTAAATTTTAATTAGGTATAATTGATTAAAAAAATTAATTAATATAATTAATTTTAATTATAATTAATTGTGTTATAACATTGTATTTGAATTTTTTTTAAATTAATTTTGACATAATTGAATATATTTGATGATTTAATTAGAATCAATTTTAGATGTATAAATTATTATAAAGGACATTAATTTTGAAAATGAAAGTATTAATAAAGTTGTATAATTTAATGTATGTAAAAACAATAAATTAGTATATCTAAATTCAAATAAATTTAATAAAAGAGAAAGATATAATTCTTAAATTTATGATGCTTAATTTATGGGAAATGTTATGGTAGTTGATTAACAAACGTGTTATTCCAATTTATTTTAATTGCGATGTTGTGGAAGTGTTTTTTCGTAGAAATATAAAAGCCACTTGCAAGTTTAATTCATAGACTAATGGGTTCAAAGGTTAACTGTAAACAAGCAACTTAGAGAAGAATATAAAATTTAAGAATGTAAACAACGAAAATCGAGACACTAATACGTGCAAGGGCAGATCGTAGGGGTATATTTGGGCAGCTCATATTTTTGACAAGTAATAAATGAGAGTAACAGCATAATTGAAATTGATAAATTGCTTCAAGCAACTTATTTGAAAATGCAATTCTACCTCAATCATCAATTATCAAAATTTTTGACTGTTTAAATAATTTTTATTGAAATTGATTATTTAGTCCAAAAAATTGATTACTTGCTCAATCCAAATAGGTTGTTGCTCTTAATTGGACTGGATGATGTTTGGAGATAAATAACCATACAAAAATATAAAAATTTAAATATTAAAGAAAAGCGTAAAAAGTTGTGCACAGATTAAGAAATTTTAGCACATAGGTGATGTCCATACAAATTATTGACATTATTGATATTGATGTTTTTGTTAGGATAATGTTAGGAGGCAGGCCCTGAAGGCAATAACTGTCACCGTATAACGACATAACCTACCGCACGTTCCAGAATGACCGTTGCCTTTCCTCTTCCGGTTCCGTGGCCATGCACAACTCTTAAAAAAAAAATAATGATAATAATCTTTGCTTATAACTTTACTAAATTTTACTCTTAATTTTTATAATTTTTTTTAATATTTTTAATTTTTAGAATTTTAATAAAATTAGGTGACCTTTATCCTTATAATTTTTATTTTTTAATAATTTTAGTCTTACAGAATTAAAAACACTGAAACAAAATAACAAGAATTAAAAGCCAGATTCGATACGGGGAGACTCACTTCTGCCTGTCCTTTCCCATCAAATTACGCAACTCTGCCACGCCCTTTTCGAGGCTCACTTCTTCGAGCTGGTCTTTGCTCTGTCTTCCATCCACTGTTTCTGGCTCCTCCATGGCTTCTCTACAATCATTTCAATTCCGCTGCTCATTCTTCCCTCTCTCGACCAAGCTCCTTCCACTCTCTCGGACCCCCCAATTTTCTCTCCTTTTCTCCGCGTCATTTCCTCGTAATGCACGGGTTTTCTCTTTCAGCGGATATGCGAAAGCCAGAAATGAAGTCTACAGAATTCGCTGTTCCTCTAAAGTCGGCTCCGAAATTGAAAAACTTTCGATTCAGAACGACGATGAACGGCCACCTTTTGATATCAACCTTGCTGTGATTTTGGCGGGATTCGCATTCGAGGCTTACACTACCCCACCTGTATGTCAATAGCCCACCAGCTTCCTTGAATATTTGAACTTTCCTTAACTTTGCCACACCTTTGCAACTTCAAATACTTTCTTCTTCTTTTTTGGAGTCTCTCCTGTGATACTCCAACCACCCCTTGAATTGGCTATTCCTTAATTGAAAAATCGAAGATGCTTCGGGGAAATAGAGTTGTGAGAAAGTATAAGGAGAAATGTGACTGCAAAATTTAAACTTCTTATATGGTGAAGCATATTACTTACACTACCATTAACTTCATGATCCCTATTGAGTTAGAAATATGCTGACTATTTCTTCAGTTTTGGGTTATCTTCTTTTCATTTGCCAAGGAACAAATAATATATTGGGGTTGATGTTTAGACAAATGGACTGTGAAAGTCAACTTCCTTTTGCTTATGCTTCTTCAGCGTTAAATAACATCACTATAACTAAAGCAGGTGTAGAATGCAATTCGGTATCTTACATCAGAATGCTACGCTGGACTTAATATATATATATATATATATATTGGAATGTGTTCGTGATCGTTTTTGTGCCCTTTTCATTTTTAATGTAATGCAGGAAAACGTAGGAAGGCGTGAAATTGATGCTGCAGATTGCAAGACAGTGTATCTTTCTGAGTATGGTTCGATTTCTTTTTGTAGCTATTCTTAGGGTTTTTCTTATTGTCAAATTCCCGATACCTTATCAAAATGCATTTAAATATGTGGTGCTTAATTTTTGCCGTTCCTTCTAGTTAGACAGAGAAATTGATTCAATTGGTTGAATGTACAAATGGGCATGGTTAACGAGTTATTTTCTTGGTATATGCAGGCAATTTCTTTCTGAAATCTACGATGGCCAACTGTTCATAAAGTTGAAAAAAGGATTCGATTTCCCTGCCATGGATCCATGGGTTGGTTATCTTATATAATATTTACATTATTGAATAGATCTCCGATTATCTAGTCACTTCTTGTTACTTTGCTTCATATCTCACACTTAATACTCATTTAATATGACTAATTTTTCCTTTGATTTATTTTCTTGGACCATGTGTTCTCCTTTGATCTGACTTCCAGGGAACAAGTGATCCGTATGTGATCATACAATTAGATTCTCAAACTGTTAAAAGCAAGATTAAATGGGGGTGAGTTTTCTTATCATATTTTTCTCAGGCTGTTATTTGATGGCTGAAGAGACTTTAAATTTTTTTCCTGGTTTACAGCTATAGTTACAGGAGAATTTGTGTAATTTCCACTCATATGGCCTTTCTTTTCTTTTCTTTTCTTTTTTTGGGGGGGGGGAGTTAGCTTGTCCTATCAAGCATCACTCTAAGGACTTAAAGTATCTCAAGCTTTGACTTCTTTAATTGGTATATTGAGTGACAACTGAGAAAATAATAATTGGTCAAGATAACCCATGACCAAATTTTGATGTATTAAATGGAGCTTTGCATTTATATATTGCCTTTTCAAATTCTTGTAAGGAGTATAGCTTCTAGAATTCCATTGATACATGTGATTCATTCATATTAAATTAACTATGTCAGGACAAAAGAGCCAACATGGAATGAAGAATTTGCTTTTCATATAAAGCAGCCTCCAACTAAACCACTTCAGGTCAATATGAACTCTCTCCCCCCCCCCCAACCCCTCACTCTCACACACACACGGCCTTTTGCATATCTAAGATAATCTACAAAGGGGAATCGTTCTCTCTAATTGACATGGAAACTTTGCATAGAATGCATCTGCATACCCTTTGACATAAAATGAAGTGGTAATCGCTTGCTACTTGTACTATGTAAATATACATCCCCTCTTTCATATTGATTCTCTTTTTAAAACTGTTAGAAGTATGTCTTAAATACCAATAGTCTAGTACTCAAAGTTAGATTACAATATGCTAAGTGCTTTTTCTTGATGTCCTTTTGGTAATTATAGTCTCATAGCATACTCTTGACATGCATCCAGATAGTTGTTTGAATGTATTATCTCTTCATATTCCCTGTAAATTTTGAGAGCCATGTTCATTTTCTTTAATTTTGATTGCATAAGTACAACTCCAGTGAATGCTCTGTTGGTGCCTTGATGGCACTTGCATTCTTCTTGTGGATACTAATGCAAGGTCTTTCATTTTTTCCCCCCCTTCTTGAAGGCTGGAAATCCTCTTGCATTCCCTCCTCTTATCTGATTGCCAATGTACCATGATGAAGGAAAAACATTTAGGGTCACCCTTGATTAATGTGTAAATGTATCTAAGGGGCATGCGTATTATACAACATAAAATAAGAAAAAGCATACGTGATTTTATATCAATAACAGTTTTATACGTATATGCGTGTGATACCTGCAAATGGGGTTGTGAAATCTGATATCTAGAAATTGAAAGAGTTTCTAAAGGAAGAGAGAAGAAACAAACATTTCAAATAAAAGCTTCAAATTTAATTGGGAGCCTGGTTACAGAAAGAGTGCAATCAGCATCAGAGATTTCCTTGTCATACTATCTTGAAAAGCAGTTATCTCTCTTTTTCATTCCACCCTTTTCTGTATTTTTGCATCTTATTTTTGTCGTAGTGACTGTTATTATTATAGAGAGCACAAAAATAATTTCTTTTTCCTGTAATGAGGTAAACACCTATGATACTGTAAACTTCACTGGTTTTTACATATAAATTTTGAAGTTTTCCTAATTGGAATCAGTGCACGAAGTGTATGTGCAATGTCAAATAAATTTTTAAGTTTCCCTAATAAATTTCATTTGAAATTTTATGTTGGTTTTCTTTGATGCTGTGATATATAGATTGCAGCTTGGGATGCAAACCTTGTGGCTCCCCACAAACGCATGGGGAATGCAGGAGTTGACCTGGAATGGCTTTGTGATGGTGAGTTCGAGAAAATCACGTGCACCAAATAGTTGATGCAAACTTGAAAAGTTTTCATGCTTGTAGAATTTTCAATTTGTTAAGTTTACAGTTCATATTATTTGGGAAACATCGTAATTTTGTTATGACATCAAGTTTTTTTATAACTGTCAACAGAATTGATGTATTTATCAATTTCTTTTTCTTTAAAAGTAATTATTGCTTGAAAAACATTTGCTCAAATAACAATTACGCATTTGTTTTAGGAGACTCACATGAAATAACGGTGGAGTTGGAAGGAATGGGTGGGGGTGGAAAGGTTCACCTGGAGGTAATTTTCTTGCAAGTTGTAACAATGAGTTAAGGAACTAGCCGTATAGATTTCATGTTATGGGAAGAAAAAGTATTTCTCAGTACCTCTCAAATATTGGAAGAATTTATTATACTTTAATATATTGCTGAGAAACTTCTGGCTTATCCAACGACAAGTTCTACTAATTAAGTAGAAGTGGTGAATGAAGATACTTTGATATGATTATCACACCCGTTATCTACAAGTTGGAAGTTTATTATTGGGAGCATTGTGATTATCCCTTATCATTATACTTATTATGTGGAAGTTGTCATCCTCTTGGAGAATTATCTTTAGTATTCAAATTTATCCAGTTTAGTAAAAATGTGTGTGTGTGTGTGTGTGTGTGTAGGAGAGGAAAGCATAGTTGTGTGTTCCCATTGCCCCTATTTTTCCATTTTAACCATGAACTTCAACATAATTGTTTAGTTTTAAAATTCTTCTGAGTGGTTTTGGCTCTACTTTATGTTGAAAATCTTGGCTGCTCAAAAATTAGTCAAGATCTAGTTTTATTGTTATATTATTTTTAAAAAAATGGTTTTATTTCAATAAAAAAATGTTTTATGTTCAGAAATTCAGGGAAATAACTTTCTTTTGGGTCCGCAGGTTACTTCACCCAACTGAAGCTTTTGAGATTGCTTAATCTTTTTATCTCTCCTAAGTTTCTCTCCATGTTTTTCCTGATGTTTGTTTTCTTCCTTCTGTCTTCTAGTCTTAAATGTTTTGATGTGATTGGAGTCTTTGGTCTCAAGAGATGTTAAGCTTTGAAACAAGTTTGTTTTAGTTTTTTTATTGTGTAAGAGCACCGGAGAATTATATGAGTTTTGGAACTCATTGTATATGATATCTTATTTTACATAGAAATCATTGGATATCTTTCCTTCTTTTGAGTCAGCACTCTAATATTCCATAACTTGTAATGAGTTGAATAGTCTAGTTGCCGTTTTACAAGGCCCTGGCCCAGCCAATTGTTTAATTTTCTGCTTACCCCTGTTTTACTGGGGTAAGACTGAAGTCAACTATGGTCAGCCATCGATGCCTTTTGGATTCTTGTAGAATACATCAAGAGTCTAAATATTGTTTTCCATATGTTACAACTTCATGATACCCAGAATATATATTTACAGCGTGTGATTCAAATAAATTATCATCAACTGAGAAGTTCTATACCATGGAACTTATATGCTTGGTCTTCTGTCAAGTCTTAGTTTTAATTCTGCAAAATTCTATTACTTGTCTGCTTAATTTGGTTTAAATGTGTTGCATTGTTGCATTTTAATGAGCTGTAAGTTGTTAATTTCCTGAGTTTTTTTTTTAAATTTAGGTTAAATATAAAACCTTTGATGAAATTGATGATGAGAAAAGGTGGTGGAAGATTCCTTTTGTTTCAGAACTTCTAAAGATTAATGCTATTGATTCTGCGCTAAGAAAGATTACCGGTTCTGATACAGTGCAAGCCCGCCAATTTGTGGAATATGCATTTGGGCAGTTAAAGTCCTTCAATAATTTTGATAAATATGATGCTGAAGGCTCTGGGACATTGAATGATTCTTATATCGCATTAGATATGCCTTCAGAAGAGGCTGGAAATTCAGAAGCCTTCAGCAGTGAAACTTCTAGTGAACAGAGATATATGGAGGAGCACACACAGAACTGTGATACTGAGAATGGACATGTTTCTGACTGTGATACTGAGAATGGACATGTTTCTGACTGTGATACTGAGAATGGATATGTTTCCGAACTATCAAAAGAAGTTGGCAAGGAAGAGCAATCAGATCAACTTTTTTGGCGGAACCTTGCTGATGTTGTCAATCATAACATTGTCCAAAAGCTAGGTCTCTCAGTTCCTGAGAAACTAAAATGGGATGGATTTGACTTTTTAAGCAAAATTGGCTCTCAGTCACGAAGTATGGCAGAATCATTTTACATTGAATCTGGGCTTGCAACATCAGAAGGAACAGAAGATGCAGCCAGTAAAACAAGCAGCCAACCTGCTATTGCTGCAATTCAATCTTCAATTCCAGAGGTCAAAAAAGCAACACAGAATTTGGTAAGACAGACTGAATCAGTTTTGGGGGGATTAATGCTTCTGGCTGCAACAGTTTCCAGGATGAACAAGGAAGGACATTCAGCGGAAGAGAGGGAAAGCAAAGATGGTAAAGTAAGAGATGCTAAAACACAATATTCCACTTTGCAAAAACTTCCTACCTCATGGAATGGGTCTGCATTGGATGAGAAGAAAACTGAGGAAATGAAAAATCTTTTTTCAACTGCTGAAAGTGCTATGGAGGCTTGGGCAATGCTCGCAACTTCACTGGGCCATCCTAGTTTTATTAAGTCTGAGTTTGAGAAAATATGTTTCTTAGATAATACAACCACAGACACCCAGGTATTTTGTTATCTCCTTGCTGATAAGTCCACTTTCCTATGTTACTTTGGTTGTAGTTAACTAGTCATTCCTCTCAGTGTACTGCCAATTGTTATTTTGTTCTGCTCTGTGTAAGCCTTTATAAATATAACTGTGGGACTTTCAGGTTGCTATTTGGCGTGATTCTGCACGGAAAAGGTTAGTGGTTGCTTTCAGGGGAACAGAACAGGTAGGTCATATTCTTTGTCCTTTTATGCAGAGTTAGACGAGTTAGACTTCAGGTTTGTCACTAAGGTACTTATGTTTTGATGCTCTCTAGGCAAAATGGAAGGACTTAAGAACTGATCTAATGCTTGCTCCTGTCGGGTAACACTCAGTTCTCATCTTGATTAGTACAAATGATTTCTTATTAGTCATGAGAAGTGTTGTCAGCCTGTCAATATGTTTTAATCTGTAACATCTACTTCGTTTCGTGTGTTATTGCTTCTCAGATATATGGTGATGTATGCATCATACAGTGGGAAATTATGTAATGAAACTATATATATCCTACTTTTGTAAATAAAAAAGGAAGGGTGATGAATATTTGGGAGAAAAACTGAAGGAGGCTGTTGCTGACAGATATATGGTGATGTATGCATCATACAGTGGGAAATTATGTAATGAAACTATATATATCCTACTTTTGTAAATAAAAAAGGAAGGGTGACGAATATTTCGGAGAAAAACTGAAGGAGGCTGTTGCTGACAGAGAATAGAGGAATTTGAGGAACTGAATTTGAGTGAACTAGGGAGGCTCAAGACCTTTTTTTTTTCCTTGGTCTCAAACCCTTATCAATTCTAGTAAAAGGGAAGGGATGTAGAAGACAGAAAAACTCTAGTTTAGATTGGAGATCATCTTTTAATTCCTTTCCTGGATTTCTTAGGAAGCTCTCTTTTGATAGAACAGCATTAATGAGACTATTGACTTTTCCAGCAAAAGAAAATAATGACTAAAATAAAACCAAAGATAATGATGGGTAAATAAGTAAATTACCTTCTAAACTTTAGGTCTATACTATCATAGACTCTAAACTCATTTATTGTGCAAATTATTCCCTCAACTTCTAAAAACAGTGCAATTTGCCTCCTGTTGTTAATAAAAGTTAACTTTAACTGTTAATTGACCAAAAAATGACAAAAAAAGACCTTAAAATTTACATAAAAGGATCAAGAAATTACAATATAGGACCCTAAGATTACAGACAATGACCCAAAGAATTATAAAAAATTACCAATTTTTTTTGTTTTTTTCTTTAATTTTTTAGGTTTTTTTTTTGTCATTTTTTGATCTAACAGTCAAAGTTAACTTTTATTAACGGAAGGGGTTAGGTTATTCTGTTTTCAAAAGTTGAGGGAGAATTTTTGCAAAATAAATGAATTTAGGGTTTATGGAGCTATTTGACTTAAAGTTTAGAGGGTAATTTGCTCATTTATCCTATAATGCTAGGCAACTAAAATGTTCATTATACATAAAGTCAAAAATAAAGTTATTTCCTTTTACTAATGGCTCTCTTATGGCAGTGCTGACTTAAGAATAAGGCCATTGGTAAAAGAAAATAATTCTATTTTTGGTTATTTGAAAGTACTGATTTTAGGCAATACAGTTTGGTTATTTCAAAATTCCAAGGCAAAACTTGAATTGCGATGAACAGCACCAAGTTGGGTCCTTAGCAATCTGATTTGAAAATTGCTTGATTTGTCAATTCCTTGCAATTTTTTGGGGAAAGAACAGTAGAGAGACACCAAAATAATCCCTACTTGAATGATCGGCAGTTAAAATATTCGTTTAACAAAATACTTTTATTTTTCACCTTTTCAATTAGATGGTTAACTTAATTTGAAAATATAGAAAATAGAATTGTCACTAATACAAATTGACACTACAATATTGATATGCAGATCATTTTGAATAAAATCCCATTTATTGTATTATTTGAATAATTTAAATCTGATTGCAATTTCTCATCCTGGAACCCCTAGCGCTTCAGGGTGCATTTTTCCTTTGATTACCATCTTAGGGGCGCTTCAATATTATTCATCAATGTTCTTGCATGCTACATATTTACTAAAAGGCTTTCATTTTGTTTGGCCTTTTCATTTTACTTGATGATTTCAAAGCATAACTAACTTTTCTATCACTTCCATAGGTTAAATCCTGAAAGGATAGGTGGCGATTTCAAGCAAGAAGTTCAAGTACGTTAATCAATATCAGGTTTACATATGTCAAACATATTTATGAGATGCCTAGAAAACTACAAGAACAGCACATTCCACAATAATGGTGCTGTAATTGATGCAGGTTCATAGTGGTTTTTTGACTGCATATGATTCAGTTAGGACCAGGATCATCTCTCTAATTCGACTTGCAGTTGGTTATAAGTAAGCGATACTTCTGTATATATTTGATTAAATGAATCATTCCTTTGAAATACATATGTATATACTTACATCAAGTGATTTTTTTCCTGATGCATCTTGCTTGTGCTATGATTATATTTTCCATAATTAACTGTATTATATATGTCTTTGGTCTCAAAGAACGAGAATTCTTTGATGTAATTTGCTGAAGTGGTTCATAATGTGGAACCTCTTCTGAAAATTTAAATTGTTTTCCTTCTGACCAAATCCTATCGGCAATTATTAGTTTTAGTGGCTACCTTGAGCAGGCATTTCATTATTTAATATAACAACCAATTACCTTTGTCATCTGCTTTTTTTTTTTACCCTGTATGTTTTAACAATTTCTTATCTTTTTACTGTGGTAAAGTATTCCTCTGGATTGAATTTATTTATTGGTTACTTGTTACTTCCTAAAATGCCATTTGAGTATTGACAAAATACAAGTTATGTTATTGTGCCAGAGATAATCATTCTGAACCACTGCACAAGTGGCATGTTTATGTGACTGGTCATAGTTTAGGTGGTGCATTGGCAACCCTGCTTGCTCTTGAACTTTCATCTAATCAACTAGTGAAGTAAGTTAATTATCTCTTTTGTTTGTCACCTTACTTTCATTTATATTTTATTTCAACTGTTCTTTTTCCCTGTAAATCTTCTGGTATTTATAGTTGCTAATGGGCAGAGCTGGATTTTGTTTCTTAAATGACATGATTCTTCTCTAATTGTTTTCCTTGTTGAACATCATGTGTTTGATTCTTGTATTGTTTCAGTTTATGGGGTTTGTTGCTGACCTGATGTAATGAATAATCAATTTTTGTCAACCTATAGTAACCTGGTATGCAATATCAGTGGCTTTAATGGAACCTTTCCCTGATATTATGCTCAATAAAACCAGAAAAAATGCTAGAGTATGGTCTAAGTGGAGAAACATAGGTACAGCTGAAGTAAGAAATGGAGATCAAAAGAAACAGTGGCTTGCGCACTCAAGTTAGCTTTTGAGAGGCTAGTTCCTTTCCTCAAGTCAGTACACAACCCGTTACCTTTCTCAAATGCCATACTCACCCTTATATTCATTATTCTCTAAACTTACTCTCTGCTCTAACAAACAAACGTTAAGTTTCCTCATTCACCCTATTTGTCAGAGTTGGACAAGATTGGCGCAATCCCCTATCCTACCCAGTATCAATGGAAAATATTTCTGCCCTTGTGTATCATTACTGCATAATCCATATAGGCTTCAATGTTAAAGTTCAATTTTTTTCACTTTATTTATGCCTGCCCATCTAAAATTTGCGGTAGTGAGTATGTATTTACTATTTTATTTGTACTGCTTTCCAGGAAGGGAGCAATTTATGTGACGATGTATAACTTTGGCTCTCCCAGGGTTGGCAACAGAAGATTTGCAGAGGTTTACAATGAGGTAAGACAAGACTATATTTACTGGATTGATATTCATAACACAGTTCTTTTCATTGCTATGAATAGAATGCTGAACTGAATTTCCTTCACTGGGCTATGGCAGCTATAGAAGTTAATAGCTGCGGAAAATCTAATACTGCAGATTATGAGCATATTCACAATCTTGTGTTGCAACTGTTTTTGGGTGTGAACTCTGAGGACAGCCGCAGGATGCTAAACTCCTATCTCATTGGCTCTGTCTTCTTAAGCAATGAGCACCTTGAGATTAGGGTGTCTAAAACTAATCCAAACCAATCACACAAACCAAACCAAACTGACATAAACACAAACCAAACCAAACTGATATAAATCAATTATAAATGAGGTTTGAATTGGTTTTTCTTTTGGAAAAACCAATTGGTTCAATTTGGTTCAAGTTTTTGCTCATGAAAATTTGAACCAAACAGAACCAAGTCTTGTTATATATATTTTTATAAATATGTCAAAGTTTTTTTTTTTGGCACTTTTTCAAGTTTAGTTATTTGTAAATCATTAGTAAAAATAAGTTACAATTAGCTAAATGTTATTTATAATTATTTAAGATAATTTTTTAATTTTATAATCACGTGTTTTAAAGATAATCCATTAATTTTTTATAGTTAAATATGCTAATTAATTGTTAAAAATATTTTTTTGTACTCAAGAAATTTTTTCATTGCAAATAATAATTAATAGTTAAAAATTATTTGTAAACATGAATATATGTTAGTGATTAAGAAAAATATCTTATTAAAAAAATTCAAACTTGATCCATACCTAAATCAAAATGAACCAAACTGCTCAAAAACCAAACCAAATCAAACCAATTAAAGAAAAAAAACTAAATAGGTCCCAGAATATAAAAACCAAACTGAACTCAACCTGTGAACATCCTTACCTTGAGTACTCCATAACGGCATGTAAATTACGTGACTGACTCCTGTTGAACGGTTTCAGTGACGTGCGGACATATCAATGAAAATAGCGTGTGTTCAAAATGGCATGCAATGATGCAAGTTTTCATCTTGTGTGAATAAGAATGTGCCAAATAAAACATTCTATGCTGTCCAGTTGACCATTCAAGCCATGCTCCCTTAATCTATTTTTCCTTCGTCAAGAGTTCACTGGAAATGAAATTTCTGTGAACTGTTTGGCCTAAGCTTTTACTTTGTCAACAGTTCACTGGAAGTAGCCACATCTTGGTTGTTTTGTTTGAATTTCCAAAAGCAGTAAGAGCTTGGCCAATGCGTTTGCAGAAAGTTAAAGATAGCTGGAGAGTTGTAAACCACAGGGACATTATACCTACAGTACCTCGGTTGATGGGTTATTGTCATGTGGCTCAACCTGTATATCTTGCTCCAGGAGATTTTAGAAATGCGATGGTTAGTGATTACTAGAATGCATTATCTGTATGTATATCGTTATTTTGCCGTGACATGTTGATTTTGTTATCAAATGTTCTGTGCTGTCTCACTTTATCTTGTTATGGATTTGGGGCAATTTTTATGAGCTAATTGATTTGACCATTAGCAGTCATGTATTTTATTCAGACGTTGAGAATAATTTAATCTACATTGTGCGCCTTTATTTGGAATTAATATCTCATTTAGTGCCATTCTTTTGAAAATAAATGTTTGTGGGACTCATAAAATCACAAAGATCTTGAACTTTCAGAACCTTATTGTTTTCCAACACCTTTGCAACTTTGACAAAACGTTGGTTAGATGTTTAAATTAGGTTTAGTTCATTTTGTCATGTTGAAAGAGTACCATGAAAATCTGGATCAATCTCATGGCTGGGTGAATTCTTCTCTCTCTCTACACAACATTGCTTGGCCTTGATATCGTATAATGTAATTTTACATTTCTATGAAGAACATGACAATAGATGTGTTGATGCTTGGTTGTCCACTTCAAACTAACTAGAGGAATTATGGAGTTACATATCACATGGAGAATTTCTGATGCTTCACGTCACTGCTGATGGATCTAATGCATGCTATCCAGGAAAATATGGAGATTCTTGGGGATGGATATCGAGGCGATATAGTTGGGGAATCCACACCAGATGTTCTAGTCAGTGAATTTGTATGTAATCGTTATCTTAATTTTTCGTCGTATTTGAATTCTGCGCAAATGTTTATTAGCCACACAAGTACATATAGAGACATGCATATCACTTACCTACAAGATGAACAAAAAGAATAATATTTTGATATGTGGCAACATTTATTGAGATTATTTATTTTTTTATTCTAATATTAAAAAAAGTTAAATGAAGGTTTCACTTCTATTTTTGATCAGTATTATACCTGAATTTATTAGCAAACCAATTGATTTATTAGTATACTGCTCTTTCCAAAAACAAATTGAAGATAATAAAAGAAGCTTGTTATTCATCTCGAGTGTTTCATTCCTCTTTTTTGATGGATGCAGATGAAGGGTGAGAAGGAGCTTATTGAGAGGTTATTACAAACTGAAATCAACATATTTCGTTCAATAAGAGATGGGAGCGGTCTTATGCAGCACATGGAGGATTTCTATTACATTACGTTACTAGAGGTACTGTCTCTTTAACAATCTTGTCGATTGTTTTTCTATTGCCATTCATCATATATGTCCACTGAATAGAGGAAAAATCATGTCACATATTGATTTTGCTGACCCTTCTTTATAACTTTATTTTAGAGTGTGAAATCAAATTACCAAACTGTATCAAGTCCACAGCCAGATGAACAACTATTTCGGAGCCAATAAAGTTTCTCTCTTTCAAGGCGGGTTACCCAATTTGATGTTTACTTGTTAAGACGGTAGAAGGACTGGTTGAGCTGAAGCCGTAGTTCAACATTTCAGAGAGCTTATAACCAAGCGTCTACTGGTATGTTACCCTTTGATTTTTATCTATGCATTTTGTTTTCCTTTTACAAAAAACCAAAGTTATGAAAAAGGCACCACATGCTTTCCATTGGATGGCAATAATGTTTTTTTCTGTTGACATCTGCATTTCATTGCCTTTTAAAGACTTGGTTATTAATAGGACATAATAGCGTCGTGTACTCCATGTAGACTATAACTGATTTTATCTAATAGAATAAGGCTTTTTGTTGCTAGTGTTCATTGAGCGAATCTAATCACCACCTAATTCATTGCCGGATTTATTATGTTTGACTCTGTTGATGTAAGCGGTCGTTTTTATTGTGGGTGTGATTGATAACTTATTATAGTATCAAAATTTATATCCCAGTTATGTTTTTGCCTCAGAACAAATTCTTTTGATGTTGTGTGCTTTAAGTTTGGAATGGCCCATTGAAAAGTATGTTTCAGAACTTGTGGAACGACACAACTGAGAACAATTTGATGTTTACTTGTTTCAAAACTTGTACAATTCTAATTGTACACTTGCTTATGTTGCAGGGCTTATAACTATTGGGGGAGAACATCAGAATTCACAATGAATAAAACACAGACCAAACCCTGAACATGTCAAAAAAATGTACAAATATTCTTTCCTAGCTTCATTTATTTTGTGTGTGTGAGAGAGAATGTATTCGATACCTTAAACTAAAATTGACGTGCTAAGGACTCGTTGTTTAAACAAGTAGTTGGAGATTTAAATCTCAACCTTTGTGTATGTCCCTATTTAATTCAGAGAGATTTACTTTTTTTTTGGCCAAAAAAAGAGTCATTTATTAATATCAAAAATTTAAGTACAAGCACCAATAGCCGAAGGTTTAAAAAAAAAAAAAGAAACACTAAAAAAGACCTATTAATACAGCCTAACACATCAAAACTCACAAAAAACAGCAAAACAGAAACAGCAATAACAGCAAAAGAAAACACTATCAGTACAGCGAAAAAATTAACCAATACCAATCTTAGTAAATCCAGAAATGCAATACCTTGTATTCATAGAGGTTTACCTTTTGCCTTTTAGCTTTCTGGCTGGATTTCATGCCAATAATCCATGTGAAGGAGTTTCTGCCACATTGCTTTGGATTGAAAAAATATTTCAATTTAATTCTTATAACGTTAAATCTGAATTGACCCCCCCTTTTTTTTCACTGTAACATTTCTCCTACGTAGTGCCATGAGCATGAATTTGTTGGATTTTTAATTTTTTTCAATATTTTTAAAATGAAATAAAAAAATTCTAAAATATGGAATGTTTTGCAGATGAACACTTGAATGGCCCGCCCCTCTTAAGATCTCGTGAAAATATGCACATAAAGCTTGTTACTTTCCAAGATCGAATGACAAGTTACGGTGTCATGTACTGATACTGAAATGTCTAAACAAAATTTGCTATCATCTCTATGACGCCTAACGTCTACGTTTTCCAGTAAGTTTGACCTAAAAGCCTAATGCCTTAGTCTTACTATCTCCGCCCTACAGCTAGAAATATTCAAATAGTCTAATACGGGATATGAAAGTAGTCGCATTCTTAGTCAGACACAATGCAAAATCGATTTGGCAAGGAAACTTGTCTTTGCACAAGTTCCAGTACCCGAATGCATATAACAAGGTCCCTTCATAAAGACCACAATCAATCAGAATTCAGAGGGGAAAAATATGTATCTTCGATCACAAAAGGAGCAAATCACACAAATCAAGATATGTATCATATTGGTAAAATTAATCCACATCATACAAAGTATAGAAAATCCAAGAAAAGGTTTAAAATTTCCCTTGTCCACCATCAATAGCAAAATAGCTCGGCTCTAATACAGTGAACCCCTAAATTCTCAACTCAACGAACCAAAAGCACCATATTGAGTAGTAAAAGAGTTGGGAAAAGATGGGATACGTCAGTTGATATCAGTATCATCGAAGTCGTCCTCGAAGCTGTTAAAAAAGTCAGCGTCGGCGAGCTTGTTATCGGCGACGATGACCCCCTCGCCGAAAATATCGAGCGAATCAACGTCGTCGACGTCCATGGCCATCGCCGATCCTTGCTCATCCATCTCTCCGAACAAGTCCATCGGCATCGGTCTCATCACACGACTTTCTCGCCTATTCTCGGAGATTACTCCGCCTTCGATCATGTCTATCAACTGCACTTCGCGTAAACGATGTCGTTTCTTCAATTGAATGTAAACCTCTTGCCTTGTTTCTGCTGTCGACCCGCGGTGTTCCTTTATAAATGTGCGAGTCTCAGACGAGAATTACTCAAGTAGGTGCGGGACATCATCTGTGATTTATTTAACTAAAACGATTTAAGTAATTTTATAAAAATTTTATGTGATATTTTTTAATTAATTTTATTCTTATAACAAAATGCACATTTAATTTTTTATATTTTTTATTATTATTATTAATATTATAATTAAATTATATTTAATATTATTTAAATATTATATATTTATTAGATAAATTATAAATGACATGATGCGCCCAATATACTTAAATGTTTCTCGCCTCAAAAAAAAAAGTTTTACTGTTTCAAATGTTACTTTTAAAAGTTGTTGGGTATTAATTGTATTATTTGAATATGATTTTCTAAAGAAATTACAAACAAAATAATTTTTTAAAAATTATTAATGTAACTAACTTTTGTTTTTTTTTGCAAGATAATTAAAAATGATTTATATAAGAACTGATTAGAGTTTTATGTATCCATAATAAATATTTCATATTACTTATTTTTGATGAAAATGAGAGTATAAATCCCTTTATGAAGAAAGGAATCACATTAAGAGAAGTTGAGAGTTATACTAATTCTTTTTAATGAAAAGTGTAACAATATTTCATCGGGAAAAAACTATATACAAAGCATACAAAGATCAATTCCTCTCATCATTGACTACCTCTATTTTAGGAGGAAGTTGATGATTAAAGTCCAAAATAGACTATTTGTACTAAGTCCTATGTTAATAAGATTACCCAAGTGATGATTATCATCAGCATTGTAAAAAGAGAAGAAGGCATTCCCAAACTGTGTGAGTAGCAATCTGGTTTCATGTACAATATCGAAGAAAGGGTGGCCAATCAAATTACCTCGAACAAGGAGATTGTAGCATTGGACATTCTAAATACAGACTTTCACACTTTGAATTCCTCTGTTTTCGCAAGCTCGTAAACCCAATCTAATGGCATAGATTGTAGCAATCTCATGTGGTTATAGCATTGAAAACGTATAACCACTAAGGCGATGAATATTTCTCTGCTCTCTGACTTGTTTCTTGATGCTTAACCAAGTGCTTCATCTTAATTAGATTGCACAAGGTGATGAATATTTCAAATCAAACATAGTATTTGTGACAGCAAAGTTATTTACCCTAACTAGGGCAAGAAAAGAAAGTGTTGAGGCTTGCCAGCTGAGGCATCAAGCCTCACATCGAAGAGTTAAAACAACAAATGAGAAGAAAGTAACTATAAAAGCGAGCTGGAGAGATCTCAGAAAGCATAACTTTCTCGACCATTTGGCTTAGATAAGTGTAGTATCTGCTACAGTATCTTTAGTACATGATATGTGGGTCATTGGCTCACATGATATTAAAGACGTATTTGAAGTTCTTTTTGTTTTATTATTCTAGGAGCCGGCATTGCACGAGAAGCATTAACTAATTATATATCAATAACATTCCGTGCACATATTTCATTTAAATTTGTGTAATTAATTTTTCTTTCTTTTCTATAAAAATTTGAAATATAATAGATCAATTATGCTAATCATTTGTTAGAACTAACATGGAAATCATGGATGTAATGGAGATATATTTTTAATTTAACTTTTCCACCAACATGTTTTAAAGCTTATATATGATTAATTGAGTATATTTTTCAAAAGTTTTTTTTTTTTGGCAATCACATCTTTCTTTTCAAAAAAATATATATACCAAAGTGACATTGTCAAGTATAGAATGATTAGATAACTAAAATTGTATTAAAAGCTAGTTATCATATAACATAATTAACTAATTTTTTGCCTGAATATAACATAGTTAATTATACATGATGCATTTACTACAGCATTACACAATTTGATATCAATGTCATTATGTGAACATTATTTATCCAAATGTATCTAATTAATTTTGTTACATTTACTTAAACTTTTAAATATAATTAACTACTCAGCCAATTAAAATAATCTATGTTCTTACAATAATTTATTATATTAGTAATCATTAATAAAATAATATAGACTAATTTAATAATGACTTTATTAGTGTTGAAGAGATGTTTGCACAAAAACTTACTATTGTCTTCTGGGTTTAGTGCTTCCTCTCATTATTTTCACTAAAACCTTACTATTGTTTTCTTAGCATTTACTCCTTCGAGCAATTTACAAGAAGAATAGATATAAATAGTAGTCAAATATCATGCTTTGACAAGATTCAAAATCATTATGGTCTCCTTTAATTACTAGAATGAAATGAATTGAAAATAAAAAAAAAAGATAAAAATAAAGTAAATCACGCTTCCCATAATAATATGATAAAATTTATTAATATATACTATAAATGTGAGAATTATCACACTCTCCAAAAAACTCATGAATCATAATTCTTAATTTTATAAATTAAATTACCCCTTCTCTTCATGAATATAATCACTTATCTCTTTTGAATGTCTTATTTTTTTATTTATTTCATTCTATTTCTTTCTACTAAGCAAATGGCACCTATAACTATTAAAGAAATCTGTACTAACATTACAAATCACTTGGACAAATTAAAATACAATTAGAAATATTAAAATCAAGTAGTCAAAGTGATTATGATCGAGCAGACATGCGAAAACAATGTATAAGTTTTCAAGAAATTGATAGTATAATTGATGTACTACCTTGGGCACACGTGCACCAACGTATGCAGATCTAGATCAATATTTAATGCAAGTTATGTTTAGCCTTTAAGATGTACTGCCTTGTGCATTGCACAAGGGCATTAATTAATTAGATATCAATATTATTCAGTATACATAATTTGTTAGTTGGATAGATAATGACATTTTTAATTGAGAACCATTTAGAGATAATGGTTAATGGCAAGTAATTGACATTAATAGATGCTCACCAATATATATCATGATAACTTAAAACATTTTTAATATTCTCAAAATAATTTAGAAAATTGGCTATCATCAAGTTAACCAGCATAGACGGATTAAACTACTATATTTATGTT